TACTTGCTTCACCAGACAGACCTTAATCTGTTCCAAAATGAGGACTTTGTCTTGTTAGGCAAAGTTAAATAATTGTCAGTAAATACAGCTATGTGACTTTAAGCATTTTAAAAAAAAAAATTCTAATATTTGTAGACTAGCTGGACACAGAAGTAGAAGTCCTTAGGCCAAGAAGCCTAGGTAAGATATCCAAGTTGTGTGCCAGGGAAGGAGACATGTGTGGGCAGGAGAGAAGAGGGCTTTCGGGTGTCCTTCGGAAGGCTGTCACACACCAAACACACAGGTTCGACCTGTCGGGGCTGGGGAGGGAGCTCTCCAAATAGCGAAGGGTCTTTTCAGAGGGAGACAGGAGAACTTGAGTTGGCTGGCTGAAACCCCCAGTGCTGTGACACAGCCTGGCTCGCTAGCACATGTGAGTTTATTTTTAAGTCATCACCACTTATAAAGTGTTTGAAGTAGTTTAATTTTTTTTAACTTTACTGAAAATTCAAGACTTTAAAAGGAGGAACTTAAAACACAGTGAAACTGCAAAGAAGAGCAACTTTCTAGTTTGGTAACAGCTGTACTTCAAACCCTGCTCTTACATGGCTGTAGACATTGCTGTGTAAAAATTATTTTTTTTGTGTGGTGTTATTTTTACTTCTTTCATTTGATCCCCTTTCCTCATGGAGTGAGGATGTCGTTTATTCTGAAAGTGAGTTGTTCCCCCTCGCAAGTAAGTAGGCAAGACCTCAGTTGTTAGTGTTAAAAATCTTTTGAAGATTCAGGTGAAAGCCAGTCTCTTGCTTGTGTAACTTTCAAAGTCTTAGTCAGAGCCCATATGTTACAACCTGGAGGAAATGATGCTTGGGGATGACTAACAGAACATGTTCCTGCTGTTAATGTGGGTGTCATTCCAGGAATTTAATTCGTAGGCTTTCCCTTTCATTTTGTTAACACATTTACAACACATTTACTTACTAATACCAGTCTTTGCTGTTGTTCCCCCCTAAGGAACTTAATGAAGGGATAAATTTTATGTTAACAAAGAGAGGTATTTGTTCACCCTGCCTGTGACGAGCAGGGAGAAGCAGAGTGCCTATGTGTGTAGATTAGCAGAAATCTGATTTACGGATAGGATATTCACTTTAATGTAGCTTCCTGCTGCAAACATTGTTTTACTCCGGTCTCTCTGAATGGATATGTAATTTACCAAGAGTGAGGCTATAAAGTACTAATTGGGAGTTATTTCTTCCTTCCAAAAAGAAGCAAATAACTTTCAGTGGCTTGATGCTTAAAACTGACTGTGCAGTTATAATCTGATTTGCAACAGGAAAGCTGGAAAAATTAATGAAGAAAAGGTAGCTTACAATTTATAACCTCTTCTTGCCACTTGTGTAGTATCTGTCTGTTAGATTGCCCTTCATAGTGAAGGATACATTGCTTAACCCCAACCCGATTAATGCTTATTTATCTATATGAAAGGTGGTGAAATCATGGAGCCATAAGCCAGCCTATGGAAAGTGCCTGTGGGACTGGTGATGCTGTACCTGAGAGGCAGCGCGAATGCTCGCTGTTGTGGTTTATTCACGCAGAAGCACTCCGTAAGCACTTAACCACAGGAGCCCAGAGTAACTGTCGTAATAAGATGTCAAATTCTCACCAGAGGGTTAAGACAGCCCACCACGGGTCAGTGTAGCTGCACTGGGACATGCCTCTATAAACCAGTCTGCTTTGCAGGCTGCGTGGCGGTGGATGCAATCTCCTATCTGCTTTTGTGTGACTTAGTGCTTTTGTTGCTGCTGGGCGTGATTCTAGCTATGACATTGCAGTAAAATAGCAGGCAGTCGATGGGTTTGCCTTGTGTATGTATCTGCAAAGCTGATACATCTAAAGCTCTGAGGGTGAGGAATCTAATTGTTACTGTGTAGGCTCCCTCCTGTGCTCTGATTCCAGCTGTGCCACCAGCAAAGTCTGTACTGAAGCCTTGTAAGCTCACTGTTCTTCACAGTTTATTAAAATGGATAAACAAGTTAAATTTACAGATTATTTCTTAGCAGTAATACAAACCGAGCAGCTGATGCACTTCTTGCTTGGTTCTGTTTAACTTCAGTTTGTCGGGAAAAGTTGAACCAGCTCAGTGCAATTGTGAAGATTGAAGTTTATTTTAGAAACCTCGGTGCTAAGTAGTAGGGTTGAGAAGCTTTCAGTTGTTTGAAATGGAATTACAGTGTCGCCTCCTGAGCCAAGACTGTGTCCCAGCGAGGAGGGAACGAGCCAAGAAATGTGAATGCCTTAAAAGGAGAGGAAGCATGTAGATATCTGCAAACTAATATTGGTATCTCCTGGATCACATTGAGAATAATGTTTTCCAAATTTCAAGTCTTGTATCTTGAGGAAGCGCAGAATAGCAGTAGTACCATAAACGCAGCGGAGTGGACTGAGCAATGAGCTGTCTTGTCAGCTCGGCGTGGTACCGCTGTTGCAGTCATGAAGCTGTGAAGGAGCAGGGCCATCATGTGTAACTCGCATTGTGTCACGAGTGTTTTTATTGCTTCGGAGTAGAAAACAGTTCAACTGTTAAGCCCTTTCAGAAAAATTTTATGCTTTGGCCAATGGCTCATGTGCCAGGTTTACCCTGGAGGAGTTTAGAAAGGGTTGTTTGAGCCCTTACAACCCTCCTGTGGTGGGGAATGCGGTATACAAGGGCAGCTGCTCTGCCCCAAGCCCTACCTGGATGTCATCCCTGCCCTCACCTCTCCTCTCAAGCGTTAGTACTGGGCTCGGGCTTTCTCCTGAGAAAGAAGCTCAACTATCGTTCTGATGAAGAAGAAAAAAAAAAAAAAAAATCCAGATTCTTTCTACTGTAGTTATAGATAAAACACATATTTGTCTTCCAGTATCATTTGGTGCAGTTGCCCAGCTTTGAATTCAGACAGCAGCCCAAATGCTCTAGTGCTCATAATATGTAGAATACGCAGAATATGATTGTCTGCAGTGTCTGAAGGGTATTTTTAAAAGTTACCCTTACAGTAGCAGTGGAAAATTTCTCACAGTGCTCAGAAATCTGGAAATGAGAGTCAAGGGGTATGATGTTACTGGGGTTTTTTTAATTAGAAGGTTTTTATAAAACTGCTGGATCTGTGTTGCCACCTTTTCCTTTCTCTACTAGCCCACACTCTGCTCTTCCTGTCTCACAAGGAATTGCTCCTTTTACTCCTTAATAGCATGTGTCTGATTTATTTTACAGGGTTTAAATTAAGAGGAAACTCAGCAGTAGGGGAAGAAGTGATGGATTTGAAAGCAATTCTCAGGCTCTTCTGTCCTGGCTCATTAGACAGCCTGCTTTTTTTTTTTTCCCCTTTGCTTTCTTTTCTTTTTTTTTTTGTTAGCTTAGCAAAAATGCAGTTGCTACAGAGCAGCAGAAACACTGCCTTGCTGTTGGCGTTCGGCGTGCTGCCGATGTCCCTGGGGATCCGGGCATCGGTCCCCACGGGTCACCCCGCTGTGCTGGCCTGGATGGCTGCTGGTGCCTGGGGCAACGTTAGCTCTGATGCTATTCTAGAAACACAAAGAAAATTGAAAACCTCCTCAGCAGCCACGGTGTAAAATGGAAGTTCTCCCCCCACACACACACACTGCTGGCGCAGCAGGTTTTCTGTCTTCCAAGAAGAGCCCGAAGCATTGTCATTTCAACCCGGGTTTTCCTCTTGTGAAGTCTCTGTGTAAAGCTGACTTGTTTGTAGCCATGGAAATTCTCATCCCCATATTGAGTTCTTTGCGATTGCGGATGATGACAAGCTATCAAAATGGCAGTGGCCTGATCCCTCTGCATCTTGGGTGCCAATTTAATTCATAGTGTATGTGCTCTTATAAACATGCCTAAGTGAATTGGGAAAAGGGAAGTGTCTGGGGTTAAAATATGAACTAATTAATCGTAGTGATTTGTGAGCCTTTGCTGCTGTAAGAAAGAACAGTTACACAATTGTACCTTTTAAAGAAGGAAAAAGCTTCATTTCTAGGGCAGTGGAGGGAAGTGCTCCCAGCCCGACCAACCGTCTAGGGGAGGTAAACCAGCCGGCGACGGTGTGGTCTTTGCTGAAACTCATACATTGTCTACAGAGGCTGGGGCGTGCATCTGAGCTGCTTGTTGTAGGGGTCTCCATGTTGCTGCTAAGGTTCAGGCAGCCCAGTCGCCTTCTGCTGCCCCGCGGGGAGGAGGCGAGAGGCTCTGCCTGCTCTTTGCGTGGTCGCTTCATGGCCCGGGGTTTATGGTAAATGCTCCTAAATTTCTCTAGGAAAACCAGAGTAGTAGAACATGACATTCCTCACATTTTTTAATCTAAAAGAATAAGTATTTCCGTGGAGCCAATGTGCAGCCGACAGAAAAGGCTGAAGGACAGCTTTGACAACTTTAAAGAAAAGTCTGTAAAATTAGGCAGAACAGTGAACAAATAGAATGTCTGTGTTCGGATTTTTTTGGAGGGGAATTTGGTTTTAATTTGTCCCTAGAGAAATGGGCTGAGCTGTACAGCCTGGTATGGTTTGTGGAGGACCTGACATGGCGGTCACTGCCAGATTGTCACAGGATGGTGAGCCATTGCGGCTGTAAAACCCAGCAGCAGCTTAGCTGCGAGGACATTCATACCTGGAAATGAAATCCTGCGTGTGTTAGTCTCTTGGAAAACGAGTCTCACAAAACCAAACCAAGAAGTAAATAGCTGTATGTTGATCCGTCAAGCCATGGGTGTGTTTAGGTTGCCTGAAATATTAATGCTGTCATGTAGCATAGCGTAGCACAGACATCTCTTTGTGCGGAGGTGAGTCTTTGTCTTCTTGACACTGGATTTAAGGCGAGTGCCCTAGTTCATACGCGCTGCTCATCTCTTACATAAAAGACTTTGTAATTGCTCTTGGTACAAGCATAATGAAAATCTAAAACTGTGAATACCCTAGCAATGCTGTGCCTTTATTTTCTTTTTGTCTGTTCACTGCTAATAATATCTTATTTTGGATTGTAGGATAGAAAACTTACAAAAGTAGAGAGGCAGAGATTTAAAGAGGAAGCAGAAATGTTGAAAGGTCTACAGCATCCCAACATTGTGAGATTTTATGACTTCTGGGAGTCCTGTGTAAAAGGGAAAAGATGCATCGTGCTGGTTACCGAATTGATGACCTCTGGAACACTAAAGACGTAAGTACTGCGCTCCTGGTGAGGACGCTAAGAATAGCGCTGGAAATTTTTAGAAAAATCCTACTTTCATACTCTGAAAAAAGGCATCTCCAGATAAAAGAAAAAAAAAAAATGGAGCTGTTCTCTGGTGTCTGTCACTTGTCCCTGCGTTTGAACTGCATTGATTTGACAGGAAGAATTTTGGCCTCCATCTCTTCTTTCCCTGCTCTCCTGTTTCAGTTATGCAGCTAGAAGCTGTTCTCTGGTGTGTTTCATCTTCTACTCATGATGTTTTAATTTGTCAGGGTGTGTTTTTGTGATTGCTTTTGTGCTTGTATTTGCATGTTTTGTTAGAAAATTCGGCTAGAATAGCACTTGAATGGTAGAATCTCTTTTTAAAGCAGAAGATGCTCTAGTTTATCTACTAAACAATATTAATTAATAGCTTTTGGTGCTGACAGTCTTGTTAAGGTTGATGTAAAACAGTTGGCATGAATTCTGGAACAGATTTTCAACCCCAATGGGAGCAGTACTCATCAGTGCCTATATCCAGTGCGCTGCTGTGCCAGTGCATTAGCAGGTTCTACATTTTTCCAAAATGTACCCTACCGATCAGTGATTTAGATAAATGGAAAAAAAGCAAGTGCATGGTACAGAGGTCAAAGTCTTGTGGTTAAAATTAAACTTCAGTATTCTTCTGATTTGGATGTATGAAACATATTCTAAAGCTGCGCTCTGCATGAAGTGAATTGCTATACTATTAAACTTGCAAATATTTGGTTGTATTTGCACCAAAAATGCTTATTATCTTCCTCCCTAAAAATGAGTGCTCTAATTCCTCCTTTCAAAAGATGTGTTTATTTCAATTTTGTGATATTTCTGAGCTGCTATTATGGGATCTAATAAGGGGCTTTTATCCAGAATGGAGTTTCAGCTGTTAAAACCCCCAGAATCTCTAATAACACTTCATTTTCTTTATACCCACTTCTGTGTATGTTTGTGCTTTAGGTATCTGAAGAGATTTAAAGTGATGAAACCAAAAGTCCTGCGTAGCTGGTGCCGGCAAATCCTGAAGGGTCTTCTTTTCTTGCACACAAGAACTCCACCAATAATTCACAGAGACTTAAAATGTGACAATATTTTTATTACTGGACCAACTGGATCTGTGAAGATAGGAGACTTGGGTCTGGCAACCCTCAAGAGAGCTTCATTTGCCAAAAGTGTAATAGGTAATCCTCCTATTTTCCTTGGGTTCCTTCTGTTGGTAAGGTGGTCATCTTCTTAATATCTTTCACATTTTGCTTTAGTGTTTTTTTCACTTGTAGGTTGGTAGTAGAGATTAAAGTGGTTTTGTGACTATTCCCTATATACCACATTAGAAATCTCAATCGGTAGGAAACAGTGTCATGACTTCCTTCTGTATCACAACGATAAATTACCTTTTTAATTTGGTTTTTAGTTGAAATATTACTTGGTATCTCCTCTCTCCTTCACAAGGAACAGCAAAGGTTCTCAGCAGCTTCTGTGCATCATTCTCCTGAGAAGAGGCTTAGTGCCTGCTGGGGGAGTGAGAAGAAAAGAGAGAGGAGAGGGAAGAGAATGGATGCCCTGCTCTCTCCCTAACAAGGGAGTGCTGCAAAAGCCTGGGAAAGCACACACCACCCCGTCACCACCCTGGAAGTCTTCTGCTTCCAGTGGTGCTGGGATAAGGAGGATTATTTTTGCTGAAGGGAGAGGCAGTAGTGCCCTGCGGAGCTGGGCTTCTCTCCTTTACAGAGAGGTCACAGGGGAGCTGGTCTGGCTAGAACACCTTCTCATATCAGCAAAATCGGTTGCTTCTGCAGACAGCTGCAGAGCTCTTCACTGCCTCGATGCTGTCCTGGCAGAGTTCTGCTGAAACAACATCTGCAACTTATTAAAAATCAGTAGGTACAAAATTAAAACAAATTTCCACTAAGATATGTACTAGCTGATGCCCTTAGGTGGTATCCACGTGAGGAGCGTTAGAATTTGGGTTTGCTTGAGCTGGGAGGATGTTTTCTGAAACTGTCGAAGGACTTTGTTTCCTTTCAAAAGTTAGACTGAATGTTTTCTGTGTAAATGTAATGTTTTCCTGAATTCTGAAATGCTTTGTGTTTTTCTACCCAAGCTTCCATAGCAAATCTCCCTTGTTCAGATCTGTAGGTGATGGTTCTAGGAAGCTGAAAATTCCTGAGAAATGATGCTGAAAGTGGCAGAAGTTATCATGCACGTAGTTGTATTTCAGCCTACAATATAAATGGAAATTAGATTCTAGATAATTTGAGTTAGCAAACTGGGTAGTGACAACCACTGTTCCCTTACCATTATATGAAAATAGCATCCTATCTTTCAAGCAGTAGTCGCTTAAATAATTATTTTAGCATCTCAAATTTTCAGAGATTATATTTCTTTACAATTACTTTTCCAAAAGTATTGACCTTAATGCTTAGGGAGCCCTGTATTGTTGAAGTCAAAATGATAGAAGTTTTGGACATGTGCTTGGCTACTGTGGGTCTGCTTAATCTTGTTGATTTTGGTGAAATCATGTCGGTTTATATCTGTTAATTTTGTCTAAATTTTACCTTCTAATAATTGGTGTTTTTTTTTTTTTCTGTTGAGGGTCAGTATTTCTTCATGTAATTTTTTTGCAGTATAATAATTGTCCATGGGACATAATAGAAAATATCAGTAATACCAATACTGGGAATTATATCAGTAATACCAATACAAGTTTTTGTAAAATCAGTTGTTACCACAACACCATCAAAGCACACTCGTGTCTGAAAGGAATTGAATCCTGAAAAGGGTTGCAGGTTGCTGGCAAGGTGTCTGCATTCATTTTGGCAATATAACTGAGCTTATTTTCATGAGTAGTGCTGCTCCAAGAAAAGAATTAGGATGGCTTGGAAACACTGGTGAGATGAGTAATTCTGCCCCCTCCATAGATGTAGTAGCTTTAAAGGAATATTAGTAGCTGCAATTTTACATTAGCTTGAACGGAATGAAGTCAGCATGACTGAGGTCCAGTTTTTCCCTTGCTGCCTTCGTGCTGTTGCTGATGCTTGTCTGACCTTGCGGTGTATCTCTGCAGGGAGCCAAGCCAGGGCAAAACTCCTTTTGCCAAGAGGAGTCAAATAGATGCTGAGCGGCTTTACGTTTAGCTGCTCTGTTTTGTTTAAGGATACTTGTATGTATTCCTTCCCACCCCCAAGGGATGGGGGTGAAAATGGCACTTTCCTGCTATTTTGGAATGGTGTCAAGAATTTAATGTGCTGCTTAGACTATCACTATCACTTTTTCAGATTTCCTGTAGGTGCTTCATAGTTCATGAGCTTCGCTCCTGCCTCTGAGTCTTGTTCCTTCTAAAACAAGGTGGCAACTCCAGAAAACATTTTCTATGGCAGTTGTTAACTGTTTCAGAGCAGCAGCCAGTGCCTGTGTGACAGCTGGGAGAGACACCCTGAGAGCAGGCACTAAGTTAAGCATTCATGACATGAGTCTGGCTGATCTACAAAGGCTGAAGGAATGCATGTCTCTGAGGTGGAAGGAACATAAACAAAGGGAGAGATCAATCCCAAATTTTGCAAAATGAATTATACAGAAATGCTTGTGCTAAGGCTTGTTTTGTGAGTTAGGCCAAGCTTGCTTTAGAAAAAGTGCAAAAGCAGCTTTTTTGCTGGCAGACCCTGATTTTGAGAGACATTGTTTCTATTGCCATTAAAAAAAAAAAGCTTATGTCAAGTCCCCAAACATATACAAGAACTATTTTTTCTTGGTATATGTTACTTTAATTACAGTTGTGTTTTTGCTGCTGTTGTAGGGATGTCATCACAAAAAAATAACAGGCTCGCCAGGCTGTTGTGGGGCTCTGGGGGCAGTTAGGGTGCTGAGGCGGTTGCTGCTGAGCTGGGTGAGCAGAGTTTGTCCGCGTCCTTCACATGGTCTGAGACCTCTCACGCTCCTTTTGTCATCCCAGTCCTCTCCTGCAACACACAACTGCATTGATCTCTCTTCCTTTGTCTTTTCTAAATGTAAAAAGGAAATAAATTAGTCTTGACTCCTAAACATCAATTACGTTGCGAGAGTCAGTTCCTGGAATAAATTACCTAAGTGTTAAGTTTTTCCCCTTTTGCTTTATAAGACCAGACTTTTCGAAGTAGTTTGCTATGCAAATGTTGCAGGCATTGGAAGTCGCTGCTTGTCATAAAGCTGCAACTTCCTGTTATGAAGCAGTAAGTGCAGTGCTTCACTTAATATTTATCCAGTTGCATTAGATTTCTGACACCCTAATCCCTGTTGAGTGGGACCTTATTCTGTGAATAGCCTCATTGATCTGTCCCACTAAACCAGTGACAGAATTAGGTTTAATGTTTTGTGCATGGCTTTGTAGGTGATTTGTGATACTACTTGCTTTCAAAGTGCTGTCTGTCTGCTGGGTGGTTGGTATGTATCTGTGGAGGAAAAAAAATGCAAATTTGCATTGATAAGAGTCAAGGTTCTCGCTTCTTTTCTTCTTTTCACCTCCACAAGCCTGTGCACATCCCTCTCTCCACCCAGGAAAAGAAACCATTTCATGACTTCCAGTATGGCCAGGCAATGTGCCCTATCTCATTCTCTTGTTCATTTTTGAAATCTTGATACTATTTCTTTTTTTTCCCCCCTTGTATTATTACCAGCGAGCCATGGGTATGTAAGTGTGTGTGTTGACTTTGGGTTTCTTCCCTGGAGGATGCTTGAGCTTATTCTAGTTACTTCCCTATTTTCAAATAATCTTGCATGCACCCTTGCACAGATATAATGGGCACACTTCCTATAGGCGATAAAGATTGTGGTTAAAGCCATTTAGACTTTATCAAATATTTATGTTCTTTTTGTGCATGTCTATGTAGGTACACCAGAATTTATGGCCCCGGAAATGTATGAGGAACACTATGATGAATCTGTGGACGTCTATGCTTTTGGAATGTGCATGTTGGAAATGGCTACCTCAGAATACCCTTACTCAGAATGCCAGAATGCTGCTCAAATTTACCGGAAAGTAACCTGTGTGAGTAAATGTCCTGAATTTGTATTGGGATTTTGTAATATGAATGTTTAAAAATGTATTTCCATGAGGCGTCAGTACTGTCAAATGCATAGTGTGTTGTAGAAGTTAAGGTATCTGAGCTCTGGGTTACGCAAACCTGTTGGAGGTTTATTTGTAAGCTTCAAATCCATGGTTTGTGTTTGGCTGTACTGCAGCTGCATAAAATGTGTTCAGTATTCTTTGTTGCTGATTTTGTCTCCATCAGCCAAAAATACATAGACTTTGGGAAGAATGAGCAGGGAAAAATCGTTGCTCTAATCTTGCCTCCTAAATGGGGACTTTTCAGACTTGATCAAGTTTCCCACAAAGCTGAAAGGACTAGCTTTTAGGTTGCAGTCTAAATCCTTATTTATATGGTGGAGGGTGTTTGATTCAGATTTCCAGTACAGATTCTCTCTGTTTGTATCTGTAACAAATTATCTGAAGATATAAAAGGGACAAGATAGCAATGTTTAGGTGTGGAGTCTGCCAGAGGAGCTTTATATCTGCATTTTGGAGCTCTGCAAGGTCTGCTAATCCCCAGACAGGAACCATGGAAACAAGTTTACTGCATTTTCAGGTGAGATTAGGCTGGAGGAGAAGTCAATCTAAAATAATCTCTACACTGAATAAAATACCCTCTCCCACGTTCTCACCCTCAGATGATAAATGTATTTGTCTACATGAGCTGTACTGCGAATGCCTGAAAAAACTCCTGAGTCTGTAAGATGCTGTCAGATTGCAAATCACTGACTGCAGAGAAATGAGGTTTGCCAAAGGCTTTGGCGGCTGTGGTTATATTCTATTCTACTTGGTTTAGTGAAACCAAGAGTTACATGAAGTTTTCTTCAGGATATATTACGTTAAACAGACTGATTTGTCAGAGGTTTTCCCAGGTACTTCTTTCCATCTGGTTGCTACAAAAGAAGTCAGCTATGTGGTTTGGCCCTTGCGCATCAGCAAAAGATGCCGTTTGCACACTTGGGATGTGAGGAGGGTAATCCTTGGAAGAAAACTGCACTAAAATTTGCAAAGATTAGCTACAGATAAGGTTGCTTTTATTTCTTTGACCTATAAAGTAGGAAAAGTAGTTAGGCTTATGTAGTAGATATGAGTGGATCTATCACTCAGTCTCCAAAAGTGTGGTCCCAAAATTACTTTGTATTCCTCTTACTCAACTGCTCGTTATGAGCAAAAATCTTCCCAAATTAAACTTGTAATAACTGTTTGATTTTGAAAGGTGCTTGAGACCACTTGCCTTCTCCAAGAGGTTAAGTGATTCAGGCTAGTACAGATATGGTTCTGTGAAATCCTGCAGTCAGCAAACACTGCTCGAGGTCAAAATTGCGTGTTGTGATTTGCTCTGTGCTAATTTGTCGTACTGATACAGAGATGGTTTCGTCAGATACCCAAACACTCGCACGTGCCAGATGATGGGTTTATATGCAATTTAATTTTTATAGGTATAGTTTGTATTGTTCAATATCTGTCTTTTCCCACCAGTGAAGACCGGGATGCTGGGAAGTTGGTGCTGTTGTTGTAGATTGCTGTACTACCCAACTGTGGTGATGCTAACCTGGTGGGAGAGGGAGGATGCGAACGATTCAGGAGCCTGTGTTTAAAAGTGGAAGTCAGTATCACAAGACACAGGAGGATGTCCCTGCTGGAAATGACAGAGATGCCATGACTTTCTGAAAGCAGGAGTACACATCTGAAGAGGGGAAGCAGTTTTATACCATTTTTGTGTAAACTGGTGCAAACTGACGTTTGTAGCTTAGTAAAGCTGAATCTTTCCCAGTGGGGTGCAGCGCTGATTTCTGATAGTTTAACTCTTCTTAGAGTGCTGATTTTGACCCATAGCTACTCAGAAATAATTTTTTTTTAAAAAAAAAAGAGTAGTCAGAAGCTGGCTGGAGCAGCCCCTATGGTGCTGTAGGGAAGGGAGTGTGTGCAGAGAGGGTTTACTTGACTGCAGGCCATTGCACTCTGCACTATGGGCTGGCTGGAAACCCATGCTACATCTTCTCAAAGAGGTGAAAGAGGTTTGATGGCTCAGCTGGGTTGCTTGCCTGAATCCTTATGATGGCCACTTGTTCCACATCGTTATTCCACGGTGCTTTATCACATTGTTCTTCCACTCGCTCCTCCCCTGCAAGGAAAAGTTTATTTCATTCGGCACAATGGCTTGTTGGCTTCATTTGGTTGTGTTGTCCTTCAGATGTGCTCTAAATGCCACCTTTGTAGGTAGCTTACAGAATCGATGAGGTTGGAAGAGACCTCTGAGATCACTGAGTCCAACCTTTGCCCTAACACCACCATGTCAAATAGACCATGGCACTAAGTGCCACGTCTAGTCTTTTCTTAAACACCTTCAGGAGTGGGGACTCCACCACCACCCTGGGCAACCCAGTTCAATGCCTAGCGACCCTTTCTGTGAAGAAATGCCTCCTCATTTCTAGCCTGAACTTCCCCTGGTGCAGTTTCAGACCATGCCCTCTTGTCCTATCACTCGTTGCCTGGGGCGGCCGACCCCCACTTCACTACACTACTTTCAGGTAGTTGTGGAGCGTGATCAGGTCTCCCCTCACCCTCCTCTTCTCCAGGCTGAACAACCCCAGCTCCCTCAGCTGCTCCCCATCAACCTTGTGCTCCAGACCCTTCACCAGCTTCATTGCCCTTCTCTGGACTCACTCCAGCACCTCAAGGTTTTTCTTGAGGAGACATCTCCTTGGGCTCTAAAGCTTCACGTGGTGACAACAGGAGTCTCCTAGTTTTTGGCTCTGGGACCTTGTCTCCCGAATGTGATACCAGTCTTGCAACCCTAGATGCCGAATGGCTTTCGTGAGAAGTGTTGGGTGTGTTACCTGCAGCCTTGCACAGGCATTGCGTGAGCAGTGTCCCTCATTTGTGAGCTACCCATCACGGTACCTGATGTTAAGGCCACCTGGGTATGTGTGTGCGCATTTAGTGTCAGAAGTAGTATAGAAGTCTTGCATTGCTCCACATACCTAAAGAAACTCTGTGTACAATTCTTAGCCATCTGGAATATTGATAATTAAGATTTCCTAAGACTCCTAAGCCTCATTTATCAAAGCAATATCCAAGATGGCAAAGAATAATGATTAATCAGAGGATTCCTAATTAGATGTTGTATTTCAATTTGCGGACTTAAGTAGTCATTTTTTTAAACACTGATGAAGGCCTGAGCTGACTCGTTTTCTGTGGCAATAACCTTTACGTAGCTGAGGATTATATGGTAAATTATTATAACTTTGTAAAATTAGTCTCATACTAGCAACTTTAGACAAATGCAAAACAATGCTTATTGTGAAGAATAAGTAGTGGTGGAGAACCTGTTGAACGTTCAGTGTTACTTGTAAGGGGTATTTTTGAAACAGAACTGTCTAGCAGGGAAAGCTGAAGCAGAAAGCATGAGGTACAGACACAGAGGGTGTCTTTTACTGTGTTTTTCAGCTGAACTTCAGGCAATAGGAGTGGGAGCAAAGGCACTGGGATTCCCTAGATGGAAAAACTGGCATTACTGTCATTCCAAGGAAAGGGTTAACCAACTCCCTGTGGAGAGGAAAAAAGCCCTGTGGCACCATGAGCTGCAGGAACTGTCAGACAGGGAGGAGGAGCAGGGGGTGGACCTCTTGGTGAGGGTGCAAGAGGAGCAGCGGTGCCCAGGGGCAGATCATCCCTCCCTGAAGGAACCTCTCTCTGGGCTCAACAGGCTTCTCTAGAGGAGCTGCATCTACTGAAGAGCTGGCGACAGGAAGCGACCCCGCTTCCACCCGCGTGAGTCGCCCACCTGGCACCGTGGGGGCTGAGGGAAGCTGCTGCTACTGAGGAGGTGGAGGAGTTTGGGGTGTGGGGTCCTGAACCATCACCAAATGGTGAGGTCTGCGCCATTAGCTGGGGCGGTGATGACCTAAGGACGAGAAAACTTCAAACTCACTTTTCATGAAGAATTGGGGTTGGTCGTGCGGCAGCTGTTGCTAGCGTTGGATTTTACTACAGTGAGATGTAGTATAGAAATGGAGCATAGGCTAAAACCAAGAGGCTGAATGAGGCTGTTTTCTTCCCAGCATTAGATGAGGTTTGGGGCTCTCACTAGAGCAGAAGGTGACCCCGACCTTCTCAGACGGAGGGGATCAGTGGTGCTGTGCTCCTGAATGCTGTCATGTATTTCAGCTTGTCACTGAAAAATTTACTTAATGTTTGAAGAAACTGGGTTTTTGCATCAGAAATGTAAACACTATTTTTTAGTGTTTCAAATTGAGGGTCAATGTAATGTGAAAATGATTGCTGTGTCTAATTTCCTGATGATTTATTTTTAAAAATATAAAACAAAATAACTCGCTTTTCATGCCTTGGACTTGGCATCATGGTGGCAACCACTGGAGGTGCTAAAAGCATCTAAAGGAGTCAGAATTGCTTGCTAGTGTTTGCATCAAGAAAGCGATTGCTTGCTAGCGAAGGTCCAATAACCACCTTATTCTTTAGACTGCCTCTAACCTTACTTTGGATTACAGTGGGCTGCACATTCCCTCTGCTGCCCAGCACAGTCAGTGTTTTACTTTGGTTTTGCCATTATAATATCTTTTTCAATTGTTTCAACTCTGTGTCCTAACACTCTTGTCAGACTCTTCCCTGCTAGTAGGACGTAAGAGACTTCTGAAGTCATAGCGAGTTACATGCAGTCCTTATTGGGAGAGAAAATAGAAACATTACCTTTCTGAGGCATTACTATTTTGTTTTAAGATGCTACACATTATGCATGTCTGTAGTGTAAGATGATTATACTTATTTACTTCAGTGACCTTTTATTCTACCTGACCATATTCTCATGGTTTAATCGCTGCTTTAGGTTTCCACTTTCATTTTCACATGTGTGTAACGATGTATATAATAGTCCAGGATAAAGGAGCAGTCATTTTCGAAATGTACAGAGGGGCTCATTTCTTTGACAGATGAGAGGT